CTTGTCAGGGCTAGAGGAAAACAAGATAATGCAGAAAAATTAAAAGTACCATTACTTACATTGTTCACAGCTAAGACCTGAGTAGCATTCAGGACAAAAGCAGGTGAAGCCGGAACAATCACTTGATGTTTGACACTGTCCACCATTCTGACAGGGACTGTTTTGACATGGGTTAACAGCTGAAAGTTAAGAAATAACACTACATAAAATGTGCATATACACACACACACACACCAAATTAAAATACAAATTGTATCAATCAGGTCAAAGGATGATAAATCAAAATAGAAAATCATAGTTTTTAACATCATGTGACAATGCCATCAGTGAAATGCCTGAAATATTAAAAAATCAATTTTGCCCTTTAGACAATAACAAAAACTAGTACCCCTGGTAGGAATGGTGATGGTCCAACAAAAAACAATGTAATCGCATTCCAGCCCACCTGAGGGCAGCATAAACATAGTTTTTCTACTATTTGTACATGTACAAGTTACAACTCACCTGTTTGGCACAAATCTCCAGTATAGCAAGACGAACATTGACAGGTATAATAAGTACAATAGTTAGTACATGTTCCACCATTCTGACAAGGATTACTTTGACACACATCCAAGGCTGTAGAATAAACGACAACAAAACAATAAGCGTACATTCAGACAACCACTTGCTGGAAATATACAATCACTGCTGTCAATTGCAATTATTAGCTTACCAATTTCACAAGTTGGTCCAGTCCAACATGCACCACACGTACAAGCAAAGCCAGGGCAGTTACTTTCGCAGAATCCTTGGTTTTGACACGGATTCGTCGCACACATGTTTATGACTGAAAGGGAAAAAACAGATTGATTAAGAAAGATTACATATCCACACAAGAAGTTAAAATGACTAAAATTCTCTTACTTAAGTATGGTATTTAATGCGATTAGATTTGATAGAGTAAAAGCAGAAATGTAAGAAGATTTCAACTTACCTCTTTCGCAATATGTTCCCTCAAAACAGTCATCACATATACATTGGATACCGGTACAGTCTGTATTTTGAACACATGCACCTCCGTTCTGGCAAAAGTTCTGAGTACTACACAGATTAATGGCTAAAAGAAAAAAGTACCAGATTGATTAATAAATGAATTCAACATGATGTTATACATAAATATCTATTACAGACTAGTACTGGAAATATACTGGTATTTACATTGTATTTGCCAGATGTGAAATTTTAGAGTTTAGAGGCACAAGTGATAAACCACTCGCGTGCCAGGGTATGACAAGCTCCAAGTTTCAAAATTCTCTTGTTTATAGAGTCACAATACAAACATTTGATGTGGACAAATCAACTTACCATTGTCACAGTTTGTACCAGTGAAACAGCTTGGGCATTGACATGCATAGTTTGAACACCCAAAAGGAGTACATACACCACCAGCTTCACATGGATTAGGGCTACAAGGATCCAATTCTGGCGTATCAAATAAAAAAATGGGGGTTATATATACAGTCATATGTCCATTTTTTTTCTTATTAGTCTAGTAATAATGCTTTAAATAACCATGGTGAGTGAGGTACATAAAATTGAACTACAGTCAAAGCCTCAGACATATCAAATATAAAATTTCAGAAGACGTACAATGATTTTAAATATTGTGTTTTGAATGCAATTGCAAAATGGCCACAGTGTATTAAAATGCATTTTAAGTACGATGTAAGATAGTATAAAATTGACATATATCAAGCTGTTTTATGCATTGATACATTGTAACATGGTTGATTTGTATCATTTTTACACCCAAAATGTTTTTACACTGTACTTGCTTTGTATTTAGGAATAAAAACACAATATTTGAAAGCACTGTACTTTCCTCTTTAGTATAGGTCTTGATCAAAATCTTTAACAAATTTATTTTATGTGAAAAGTGAAAAAAAATGACTTTGAAGTTCAAAAGGTTACCATGGTGCAACAGCTTCACCGCAATAATTAAAGTCTATTAAACTTAAAGTAAATTTGTCAATACTTTTTGTTTGGTTGCTAGGCAACTCTCAGTTAAGCGTGATGAAGCAAATCACACAAAAAACACACTTACCAACTTCACAATTATTGCCAGAGAAACAGCCAGTACAATAACAGGTGAATTCAGTGCAGGAATTTTGTGTTTGTACACAGAAACCGCCATTTGCACATGGGCTTGGCTGGCATGGATTGAGCACTGAAATGGTAAATAACATTATTCAAAGCACAATGCTGGAATTTTCACATTGGGGTCAGTATCATACATCATGTACAGTTGAGATTATGAAAAAAGATATACTGATATATCATTATTACTACCGGGTATTATGTGTTGATATAATATCATGCCAATATATTATTGTTTATAATATGATTATCATTTATTGATTATTAATTTCATGAATACAAAACTTACATGTTTCACAGTTATCTCCTACAAAGCAGCCTGAACACTGGCACGTGAATT